ATAATATAGTTGATATAGTTAGTTGGTTGAGTTCATGGGGATTTTGTCCATAAAGGGCCTTTTGATTCTACTCTTGGATCTTAGTTATTTCATAAGCTCTATTCGTAGATAAATCATTTTCTGTTACATTAGACTGTGAGCTCCTCAAGGGCCGGAACAGTCTACTGCCTTTCTTTGTAACCCCAGTAACACAGTGCCTGGTACATAGTAGGTGCTTAATAAATGCTTGTTAACTGAGGTGAGGTCTGTTGCTACAAAAATATTTCTGCAGATTTCTACATTGCATATCGTCTACTCCAACTACAACTAACAGTACTCTTCGCCACTTTTGACCAGCAAGTGTTCATCTTTCTGTAGTTGCCTTGGGATGATAAGCACTTTTTTTTCCATGAACATTTTAAGGGTTTGAATCCAGATGCCTTCTAAATCCATTGTTGTCCATTTTACCACGTGATAGGTATATGTTAAGACTGGTATTTTGATACAGTGCAGGTCGTATCCCATCCAAACCTTCTCATTCTGTGCACCTCTTGTCAATGTCTTCCCATGTCCCACCTTCCACTAAGGGGCCAGCCAATATGCTGGGGATCTTTCTTTTAATCCTCTGACATCATGTAGATATCAGTGGAGCACATGCAATGCCCATTGATCATTTTTAGCTCTTGCTTTTCAGCTAGCCCACCTCCCTTTCTAGTTATACACTTCTTTGATGATATCTTTTTAGACCTCTAATGCAGCTAGGTGGTGCAACAGCAGATAGAGTGCTGGGGTCATCTCTCTGAGTTCAAATCCAGCCTCAGACACTTACTAGCTGTGTGATCCTGAGCAAGTCACTTAACCCTGTTTGCCTCAGTTCCTTCAACTGTAAAATAAGCTGGAGAAGGAAATGGCAAACTACTCCAATATCTTTGCCAAGAAAACCCCAAATGGGGTCACAAAGAGTTGGACACTACTGAAAAAAAAATGACTAAATAACCAAAAGTATATTTCAATTTACTCATGCCCATCATGTCTCCCCATTGTAGTCTGCTTTAATTCTTAGGAAACTGAGCATCTCAAACATTGATTAAATTCAGCTCAGCAGGCCTTTATTAGGTGTCTTCAAGGGCTTTTAAGCCATCTGGCTATTAAAAAGTTCAGAGGAAGCTTTTTGTCATCCTGGGTAGATTCCACTATGAAGAATCAATGTAAGCATGTGGTCAAGAATCACAGGAGGAGAAGGCATGGACTGATGATGATGATGATGATGATGATGATGATGATGATGATGAGGGCAGGAATAATTACAAGGAAGAAAGAAGAGAGAGAAAAAGAGGGAGAAGATAGAGGAAGAAAAGCTAGCATTTCTATGGCATTTTGAGGTTTGCCAAGTGCTTTACATACTTATCTCTAGATAGCAATTTGTCTCCTTGGGGGGAATATCCAACTGGATAAAATCATAGATCCATTCAAATATCAAAACATGATCAATTAATTGATCCACAAACATTGATTTAGCACCAGCACCGTGCCAGGCACTGTGCTAGGTACTGAGGCTATAACAAAAAAAAAACTAGATAGTTTCTCCTCTCCAGGTATTCTTTTTGAGTATAGGTTAGATTAGACCAGGTGACTGCTGAGCTCCCTTCTAGCTCTCAAGTCATCTGATTGCATGATTTCATGAACTTACATTCTATCAGAGGAAATAATATATCTATATTGAAATGGATACAAAATATGTAAAAAGGAAATACAAAATAAATACAAGGTATATGATGAAAAAGAAGAAAAACATTAGCCACTATAACCCTAGACCCCTGTCTACCCAGTACCACCTAGGAGTTCAGTGAGGTGGGGGGGAGGGGCTTACCTTTGCCTTGATAATGGTGCATTGCAGGGAGCTGTTGTTCTGATCATAAAGAAGGCTGAACTCCAAAGCTCCCAGGGTAGCTGATGGGGAGGAAGAGATAAGAATCAGAAGAGAAATAACCAACCCCGGGCAGAAAAAAATGAGCCAGACCCATCCAAGTGCCAATTCCATTTTTGCCGTTCCAGATCACAGACACGATCATGTTAACATGTTGGCAAACGGCCTCCGTGGTCCTGTGGGGCTTAAGGAAGAGGATCCAAGCTATGTATATGAATGACATTTGTTTGGGTGAAATTGGACAGAAACATATGTCAAAGAGTGTTGGATTTGAAGTGTAATCTCAGCTCTGTTCCTTAGTTGGGCTTCAGTTTACTTGTGAACTAGATGGCTGCTAAGGTCCCTTCTGCCTCTAAATCCTATGGCAGCTCTACCTTCATGCCCTGTATCAATTAATCAATAAACATTTATAAAGGACCTACTATGTGCCAAGCTCTGTGCTAAGTGCTATACCTATTTACCCTACAGAAACATAGTCGTAGCTTCTCCTGTGGGTCCCAAATTCTGCACTTGCTTTAAGAGCACTATAGAAATAACTGACATTTATATAACACTTTAAGGTTTACAGAGCAGTTTGCACATATCATGTCATTTGATCCTCACAGTAACCCTAGAGAGTAAGTGCCACAGCATGATTATTTCCATTTTGTTGTTGCTGTTCAGTAGTTTTCAGACCCGATCAACACTTCATGACCCCATCTGGGGTTTTCTGGGCAAAGAAGTGGTTTGCCATTTCCTTCCCCAGTTAACTGTACAGACGAGGAACTGAGGCAAACAGGGTTAAGTGACTTGCCCAAGTAGTAAATGTCTGAGGCCATATCTGAACTCAGGAACGTGAATCTGCCTGACTCTAGGCCCAGCACTCAGTTGCTCTTATGCCCATTCTGCAGATGAGGAGCCTGAGGCTCAGAGATAGAAGGGCCTTACCTAGGGTCACACAGCTAGTAAGAGTTAGAGGTAGGAATTAAACCCAGGTCTTCCTGCTGCCAAATCCAGTCCTCTGATTCTGGCTGTGAAATCTTGGGGAGCTCCCTACCCCTCTCCAAAGTCTGTTTCTCCATCAATAAAATGGAAGAGATAATCTCTATCCTACATAATTTCCCAGAATTCTGAGGTTCAAACAGATATGAAAGTGCTCTGTAAAGTTGTAACAATTCCTAAGGCCCAACTCAAGACTCACCTTCTTCCACAAAACCCCACTTAACACTACTGTATTCAATTTTTTGACTTTCTTTGATTTCCTCTTGCACTGATACATAGATATCTCATTTCATCCTCACAATAACCCTGGGAAGTGGGTGTTGTTATCATCGCATTTTACCAATTTTACTAACTGAAGCAATCAACTAATCAATAAAGTTATTAATCACCTACTTTGTGCCAGGCACTGTGCTAAGTCTTGGGAACACGCACAAAAAAAAGCCAGAGACAGTCCTTGCCCTTAAGGAGTTTACAATCTAATGAGGAGATAATGGTTAAGTGATTTGCCTACTGTCACATAGTAATAGGCTACATTTGAATTCAGCTGCAACAAGACTGAAAAATAAGACTACTTATTATTTGGGATGGTCTGTTGTTTAACCAATGTTTGGTATCTTTTAATGGATAGTGACCAGGGACCCTAGTCTTTTGTTCTGAACCAATCATGTCCTTAGACCAGCAATATTTACAAGGGCAGGGAGATATAACTTTAATTCAGGACTCCTCTTTCAGAAGAGAGAGGCCAATGGCCAGCCTCATAGGCCCTTCTGTTCTCCTCTTTTCCTCTCTTGAACCTCCACATCTCTACCATTCATTCATTCATTCATTCATTCATTTGTTAAACATGTATTAAGCACTTACTGTATGACTAGCACTGTGCTAGGTGCTGGGGAGACAGAGACAAAAATGCCACCCTGAGGCTGAGCTATCCTGATCAGTGGGCAACAACCTAACTCACTCCATCTAGCCAATTCCAGACTGCTTTACAGCTTAGTTGGATAGCCGCAAATTCATCCCTGCAGTACATGTACTGTTCCTCCCACCCCCAACCTGGAAGCAACAATCAAACCAATATGACCTTTGCTACTGGAAAGAGCCTAGCAATCAGCTCCCTACTACTCTACATGCAATGTTTGGGACAGCCTCCACCAAAGAACCCTTATCTGGACACCACTCTCCAAAATGTACTGTCTACCCACACCCCCTATCTCCAGCCATAAGAATGTAAACTCCTTAAAGGCAGGGACTGTCTCAGTTTTATATTTGTATTTACCTTAGCACAGTGCCTAGCACACAGTAGGTGTTTAATTGCATTTTCATTTATCCATTAGTTTATTTGTTCCTTCCTTCCTTTTTCCTTCCCTCCCCCTCTTTTCCTTACTTTTTCCTTGCCCTTTTCCTTCTTTTCCTTTTCTTTTCTTTTTCCTTCTCTTTCTCCCTCCCTCCCTCCTTCCTTCGCCTTCTCCTTCCCTCCTTCCCTCCCCTCCCCTTCCCTTCCCTACCCTGCCCTGCCTTTCTCCTTCCTCTCTTCCTTCCTTCCTTCCTCCAGAACTCGGTTTTCTGATTCTTACTATCCTAGTTTCCCTCCAAACTTCCTCCTCATACCCTTCAGAGGCTTCTTCCCAATTGGGCCCCAAGTTGTGTGGCCCTAATACAGAAATTAACTTCCTTTAAAGGCTGTGAGAAGTTTTCCCAGAGAAGCCTCCTCCCTGGGAAGCTGAATAATTCATCGTCTCCAAAGCTAGACGTTTTTTGCCAGTCTATTATTTACAGTTGAGAAGCCACCGAGTCACTGCCTGGGCACCGTGCCCTGCTCCATTACTTATTTAGCAGCCATTAGAAGCACTTAGCTCTGAGAATGTGGAAGGAGTCTTGTTGGACACTGGATGGAAACTCTCATCCTTTCCAAGGGATGGTGCCCCCTTTTCTGCCCTGGAGAACACGGGAGGCCTTTATCAAGCCCCACCCACCCACCCCAGACATAGCTGCCCACCAAGGCTCACAAACTCAGAGCCACACCAACTCATACATGTACACTCCCATGCACATAACATTGGGGTCCCTGTGCTCTCTCTGCCTCTGGGGAAAATATACATACATGATGCACCTCTCTCTATTATCTATGTTGTTTGGTCACTTCAGTTTTGTCTGACTTTTCATGATCCCATTTGGAATTTTCTTGGCAAAGATACTGGAGTAGTTTGCCATTTCATTCTCCAGCTCATTTTACAGATGAGGAAACTGAGGCAAAGAGGGTTAAGTGACTTGCCCAGGATCACACAGCTATAAATTGTCTGAGGCCGGAATTGAACTCAGGAAGATGAGTTGTCTTGACTCCAGGCCCAGCACCCTATGCGCTATGGAGCCACCTACCTGCCCTATATTATTTACATCTATGTTCTTTTTCTCTCTCTCCCTCTCTTTCTACCTCTCTCTTGTCTTTTGCTGTCTCTTTATTTCTGTCTTTATCTCTGTCTCTCTTCTTGTGAGAATAAGATAACATTTGTAAACCATTTTTGCAAACCATAATTACAAACCATAAAGTGCTATAGAAATGCTATTATTATTTTTAATATACCTCCATTAATCTTAACCAAGTTCCTCTTTTTTCCCTTTAAAGAATATAAATTTTTTTTAGCCTTGTGCTAAAAGTTTTCCCTCAGAATTCCTTTCTATATTGAATAACACACTCTCTCTCTCTCTCTCTCTCTCTCTCTCTCTCTCTCTCTGCCATAAATAAAAAGCTATGCTTTGATTGAGCTTGAAATTCCTATGCTGTGGGTTAATTATTTGTCACGGTATTATACTCTCAGAAGTACAGACCCAAACCTAGACATTTTCACACATACTCATTCATATTCCCTTATACTTTTGAATAAACAACACTGTACTATGTGGGGTAGATCATTTCTTGTTTCTGGGTCTCAGCTTCCTTATCTGTCAAATGGTGAAGGTTGAACTCTAGACCATACAATCAAAGAGGGCTGGATGGGACCTCACAGATCATCCAATCCAACCCACCTCCCTCTCCATTTCACAAAGAAACTGACCCAGAGGGAAGTGACTTGTCCAAGGTCACACATCTCTATGTTCCTATACTAACAGCCAACATGCTCTCTCACAAATAACCATGAACTTCTAGAATACATGCTATGCATACACCCTACCCCACCCCAAGACATGCTTCCTCAAATAGAACTCCTACAAGAAATAGCTATACTCACACTACTGTCCTTACACACTTACACACATAATCTCAGCACACCCATGCCCATGCTCAGATACTCCTATACACACAAATACCCACACACACATCCCACAAACTTTCCTCCCGAAATGCATGCTTGAAACTCCATGGCACACATTGAGAGGTAGAATGCTGTCAGTAGATAGAATATTGGGCCTGAAGTTAGGAAAGAAAGACCTACGTTTGAGTTTTGCTTCTGACACCAGCTATGTAACCCTGGGCCAGTCAATTAACTTCTCAATTTCCAGCAATTCAGAGACTATAAATTACACAGAAGGTGCTAACCTATAACGGTAAAGGGAGTCTCCTCACTTGGGAGTGCCCTGCACCATGAAAACAGACATCCATTTCCTAACCCCAAAGAGCACTTTACAGTTTGCAAAGCACTTAGTCTCCATTACCTTTTTTGTGTATGTCGCTTTACAACCTTAAAAGTGCTGTAAGGTGTGGTTTCAGTTGTTGCTGCTGCTGCTGCTACTGTGATTATTATACTACATTGGCTCTGCCCATAGGTTACTAAATTTCTCCAGGAGATTTTCCACAGCCCAGAAGCATCCAGGGTTCCTCCTGACTCTTCTCTGATAGGTAGATTAAGGAGGCATCTTTAGAAGGTCAGATTCACTGCCACAGGGGGTGTTCTAGAGAGGACAGAGGGGGAGTGGAGGGAAAGTTTCCTCTCCCCCTCTTTCCCCACTAGAACTAAAAGAGGAGACAGACTGATGGGCCTTTTTCCATTGGAGCATTACTCTGGGGGATCAGATGGAGTAGAGGAGAGGATAGGACAGCACCTCTTCCAAGAAGACTTTCTTTCTTTTTTTTTCAGATCCAAGAGGAAATAACTTTATTTTAATCAATAGCCATAACTTAAGATGCTCTTTTTGTTATACAACACAATCATTCATTTTGATGAGAGACCACACAAGCATTTGCCTCATCCCAACATTTTATATCATGTCGTGTTATCTCCACAGTGGGAATACTCTTCTTGAAGGCTATTCTGAAACAAAAGGCTATTAGTGACAAATAGACAAAGAAACAAAATACTGGTGGTCTCAGTTTTCTTTATAATTTCACTACTAATCACGGATTATGTTAAATTAAGATTGGTCTTCAGAGTTGATTTTTCCATCTTTCTTTTGAAGGTCTCAATTAGGCTAATCCATTTGCAAACCTGCACTGCTTCAGCACCTCACTAAAGCCCTTGCACAGCTTGAGGTCACCCTGGTTCTGGGCACACTCTAAGAACTGCTTCATCTCGTAGTGGCAGGGGCCGAACTGCTGCTGCTGCTGCTGCTGGTATCCTGGCTGGGCTCCCTGAGGCTCCTGGTAAGTGACGTCAGGCCTTGCAGGCTCAGCATTGCTCCCACCACTGAAGCCACCAGTGATGGCATGACCAATAGTGTGGCCGAAAGCTGAGCCCACTGCGACTCCTGCTGCGGAGGTGGCCATCTGGGCCATCAAACCCGGCTGCCTGGGTGCAGCAGTAGGAGGGGCACCTGCAGATGGTGGGACTGCTGCTGGAGGGTGAGCTGCTCTCATTGGGGGTGCCTGACTGGCTGGGGGCTTTCATGATGACTTCTCTCCACCATGGTCCTTTCCTCTTTGACAATCCACATTGGTACAGTGTCATGCTGGATTATATAGCTTCAGAGTTCTTGTCACATAATTGATGCTTTCTATATGCTTACTCATTCATTCATTTATTCATTCATTCATAGGACCATAGCTCTGGAGCTCAAAGAAACCTTAAAGACCATCATTTCATGCCCTTTCATTTTATAGATGAGGACGGTAAGGCACAAAAGTTAAGTGACCTTTAGGGCTGGCTATCTACCTACCATACCCCTCTTCCTCTCCAAGGTTTTTAGACTCTAATCCCAACACTCTTACCATGACACTATGCTTGATAACCGACTAGCCACATCTCCAAGGTTCAAGGTCATTGAGAAAAGTTTCCAGGAGCTCCAGCTTTTCTATCCCTCTTGATACCAAAAATAGCCATGGGGCAGGGGATCTCTCCGGGCCCTGAGAAAAACACCTGAGGGCTTTCTTGACCAGTCTCAGTCTGAAAGACCAACAACATCCTCCTCCTTCCAAGCACCCTCCTTCTTACAAGAAAATGAGACCCACCCCCAATGATGCATATGAAACTCTTCAACTTGTGGTGACTCTTAGGACCACAATAAAGCTGAAAGGGACATTGGAAGTCACTTTGTTTTGTTTTGTTTTTCTTTTCCTGGGTATTTTAATTTTATCCCCCCCCCCCATTTTATTTATTTATTTTTAGTTTTCAACACTCACTTCCACAAGATTTTGAGTTCCAAATTTTCTCCCCAGTCCTCCCCTCCTCCCACCCCATGACAGCCTGCATTCTGATTCCCCCTTCACCCAGTCTGTTCTCCCTTCTATTCCCCTGCCCTCATCCCCTTCCCCTTCTTTTATCCTATAAGGTAAGATACATTTCTATATCTCTTTGCCTGTGTATCTTATTTCCCAGTTGCCACGCAGAAACAATTTCTAACTTATGTTTTTAAAACTTTTGAGTTCTAAATTCTCTCCCCTCCTCTCTCCACCCACCCTCATTGAGAAGGCAGGCAATTCAACATGGGCCATACATGTGTAGTCATGCAAAATGCTTCCATAATAGTCATGTTGTGAAAGACTACTCTATTTCCCTCTATTCTATCCTGGTCCCCATTTATTCTATTCTCTCCTTTGTCCCTGTCCCTCCTCAAAAGTGTTTGCTTCTGATTACCCCCTCCCCCAATCTGCTCTCCCTTCTATCACCCCTCCCTCTCTTATCCCCTTCTCCCCTACTTTCCTGCAGGGTAAGATAGATTTCCATACCAAATTGGGTGTGTATGTTATCCCTCCTTAAGCCAAATCTAATGAAAATACAATTCACTCATTCCTAGAAGTCACTTTGCTCAACCTCTTAATTTCACATATTAGGATAGAGAGGTGTGGAGAGAAATGAAGTAACTTATAGGATCATAGCTCCAGAGGTGGCAGGGCCATTGGTGGTCTTTGAGTCTAATCCCTTCAATTTACAGATCAGGAAACTGAGGCACAAAGAGGGTAAGTGATCACAGAGCTAGTAGGTATCTAAGGGTGAGATTTGAATTCATTTCTTCCTGACTCCAAGTTGAGTGACCTGTCCACTATGCTATACTCCATAGCCAGTCAACAGTCATGCTGCTCTGAAGGAATTTGAATCCAGGTCCTCTGATCCCAGATCTAGTGCAGTTATCACTCTGCTATTCTGCCTTCTAAAGCCAGAATTTCTGAATGACCATATCTCAGAGTTGGAATGGACTTTAGAAGCCAGTTAATCCAGCCCTTACTGGAATGAGAATTCCCCTCTGCAATTCACTCCTCACATATGGTCATCTAACCTTGCCTTGAAGATGTCCAGTAAAGGTGAACCTGCCCCATCCCAGACAGCCTGTTTCATTTTTGCACAGCTATAATCCATAGGAGGCAGTGTAGTGTAGAAAGAGAGCTCTGACACCCCCCTCCCTTGGTGGGCAAGTCTCTGGGCAAGGCACTTAACCTCTTAATGCCCTCATCAGCTAGGACCATAAGTTGCAGAACAAGTGGTGATTTGCACTAGTGGAGGGAGTTTCCCTGCTGGGAGTTCCCTGCACCAATGAAATCCAAAAACAAAATTACAAAGTTTTCCTTCTCACCAAGCTTAAATCTCCCTCTCTATGACTCCCACTCACTGCTTCCAATTCTGCTTTCTGAGGCCAACCAGAGTGGTTCTTCCCAGGCAAGCTCGAACATCACCTACTTGCTTCATCAGAATCATAGCTGTTTGCTTCGTCTTCATCTTCTTCTGGAGGTGGCTGCTGCTGACGGGCTGGGGCAGCAGCAGGCTGGGGTGCAGCGGCTGCCTGGGAGTAGGTTCCTGATCGTCGTGCAGCCCGGTCATCCTTGGCTCCAGCTAGGGGGTAACCCCCTGTATCCCTGGCTCGGTCATCCCGGGGAATGGCTGCTGCTGAGGGGTAGGCAGGCTCCCCTTGGGCCAGATCCCCCTGAGCTGCAGGGATGAAGAGAAAGGATGGTAAATGGCTTTAGAAACATGGAGGTTTATTCATTTATGCAACAAACATTTATTAAACAGAATCCCATGTTCAGCACTGGAAACAGACAAAGCTTACATGAGACAAAATTCCAATCTTCTTGGAGCCTTCCTTTAAATCCTAACTAAAATCTATCTTCTAGAAGCCCTGCCCAGACCCTCTTAAATTCCAGTGCCTTCTCTCTCTTAATTATTTCCTATTAATCCTGTATATAGCTTGTTCCTACATATTTGTTTGCTTGTTGTCTTCCTTATTAGACAGGAAACTCCTTGAGGGCAAGGACTATCTTTTCCCTCTTTTCATATCCCCAGTGCTTTGCACAGTGCCTGGAACATAGTAAGCACTTAATAATTGTTTATTGATTGATTATAGTCTAATAGGAAGATGAATGAATGATTTTTTAAAAAAAGAATTTAAATGTTTACTATATTCCAAACACCATGCTATGCAAATACAAATACAAATATAAAATGTGAAATAGTACCTGTCTCCAAGGAGATTCGATTTTAACAGAGCGAGACAACATATACAGGGGTTAGTAGCCAGGAAAGGGAATTTTGGTCCGGGATTAAAACACAGATACAAGTAACTAGAATGTTCAACCTTACATAATAAATACATTCAAAATGTCAAATGACTTGCCCAAGGTCACAAACGTGGTGTCAGAAGTGGGATCTGAACTCACCTTCTCTGATTCCCAAGTCAGTGCTATTTTCACTGTACCATGGACAAGAATGGTACAACTCATTTTGTATTCATTCATCTATGTAAATGGTACTTTCCTTGAGGGCAGCAAAGGTTTCATTTTATGTACCTAGCATAATGTCTGGCACACAGGAGGTACTGAATAAATGCTTGTTGATTAATTAGCGTGTGGTCATCCAGCCCTAACTTGAAGACTCTGGAAAGGGAGGGGGATCTACCGCCTCCCAGCAGGCACCCTATGTCCAGAGAAAGTGAGCAAATTGTAAGGAGAGGGAAGATGGAGACCATGGAGAGTTACCTGGTCTTTGATCTGGAAATCTGCCAGCTGCACTCGGTCCTGGTCTGCTGGCCCCTGCAGGCCCTATCAGTCAGTGAAAGAGAGTTGGAGCAGCAAATGATAAAGATGATGATGATAGCAACAACAACAACCAGATATATTTATATGGTCTATATTTTATGTTTGGCAAAAAGACTTATATAGATTAGAAACTCCCCAGTTTTAGCTCTTTAATGCTTATTACTGCTATGGCAGGTATTTGTTTCACTTGACTCTGAGTGTGTGTGTGTGTGTGTGTGTGTGTGTGTGTGTGTGTGTGTTACAAGGGGTTTTGTTTTTTCTTCTATTTTTTTCCAATGGGTGAGGGTTGGGATGGAGAAAAATAGATTTTTGGTAAGTAAAAAAATTAAATGAAATTTAAGAAATAAATTTCCACTGATGTGAACTACTGGGATATTTCTGGTTGACTCCATCACCTTCCTCACCCTCTACCCCTTGACCCCCAGGCAGCTTATAGGATCATAGATTAAGAGCTAGTAGGGATATTAGGGGCCATCTAGTTCAATCTTCTCATTTTATAGATGAGGAAACTGGGGCCCAGAAAAGAGAAGTGACTTGTCTGAGGTCCTACAGATAGCAAGTATACAAATCAGGATTCAAATTTGGGTCCTCTAATTCTAATCTAGTTCCCTTCTGCTGCCCCATGGGGTACTCAGCCCACAGGGCTGTCCCCCAGCTTGAGATCTATTATCATTCTTTGCTCTGCCTTTATCACACATCTACTATCTTGTTCAATTCTCAGTTTATATTTACATTGTGTATATAGGTTTCAAAGGAAACTGGGCTGGAAAGGACCTTGGATGATCACCTAGTCTTTGGAGGTCTTCAAACCAAGACTATTGGAGAAGGGATTCCTGTTCAAGTACAGATTAGGCTAAATGGTCCCTGAGGTTCCTTCTAACCCTTAGCATCTGTGATAGCCTAACCCCTTCCTGTTATAGATGAAGAAACAGAAGACTAGAGAGATTTGTCAAAAATCACTCAAACATCTTAGAAGGGTGTCGTGATGGGGAGCCTGGATTCAAGGAGGCCTGGATTCACATTCTGCTTCTCACATTTGCTAGCTCTGTAAGCATGGGCAAAGCACTTTCTCTTTCCAAGCCTTGATCCCCTCATCTTTTGGGGGGGGGCAATGGGGGTTAAGTGATTTGCCCAGGGTCACACAGGATCCCCTCATCTTTAAAATGGGGATAATGACAACTATAGGACTCACTTCATGAGCCCTTCTATGAGACCCAAAAGAAATCATATTTATAGAGTGTGCAATCCTCCCAGTGTCAAATGCCAATTTCTCCTAAGTGTGGCTGTAGCTAGAGTGGAAGCAGCTGAGGGCAAGGACCATGTCTCATACTCCTCTGGAACCTCTTCAGTGACAAGTACAAGGCTGGGCTATATATTACCCCTTTTACAAAGGGCTGCCACTTCCTATGTGTAGCACCAAGAGAGTTCTGGGAACCATCTCATACCAGAGAGCTGATAGTTAAATTTTCAGTGTCAGCATTTATACCTTGGACATCAGCAAATACCACAAATCAGGGCATGGGTTTATTATTTTGTTGATTGTCTAGACTTGTGTTATTAATGCAGATTAAATTTTAAAATGTGTTGTTTTACTTTTTAAAAAAGAGATACTGGTTAAACATTTATCAGCACATCCCCATCTAGCACCCACCCTTGGTATATAAGACCCCTCCCCCCTTAACCCCTGCCCAATGGTTTCAAAGCTCTTTGGTGCCTTCCCCTCACTTGCACCCCAGCTGTCTGTAACTTGTCTCACAAAAACATTTTGGTGGAGGAGGAGGAGAATAGCTTCTGAAACAAACATCTGGGTCCCTCTGATAGAGGACGGAGGGAACCTTACCTGGGGGACCAGGCTGAGCTGCGGCACTTTGGCTAGATGCTTGGGAGGGTCTGGAGGCCTGAACTGAGTTGGCCCGTCTCAAGCCTGGGAGGGACAAAGGAAAAACCATCATTAATATTTCAAGCACAGGTCAACAAGGCCACCAGCCCCCAAGCAGCTGGACCATCCTAGATTGGGGCTTTCCATCTTTCCTGCCCATGTTCTATCTCACTTGAAATGCCTGTTTCTCTTACCATTTTTCCTGCTTCCTTTGTCTGAAAGGGTCAATTACTGGGAAACCTAAGACTTCAAAACTCAAAGAGATTTTAGAGAAAAGAGTTAAACTTCTTTATTATACGGGGAGGGGAAAAACTGAAGCCCCTTCCTATCTTGTATATTTACCTTCCTCAGTGGACACATTGCAGCTTGCCAACAGCCTTCTTAAACGTGGATACAATTTTCCAGGAGTGGTCTGACCAGCATAAAATTCAATGAGACAATCACAACCCTTATTCCTGGTATTGATCTTTCTCCTTTCTAATCCTGTGATTCACTGGCACACTTGCCAAAATAATCTTTCTTTCTTTCTTTCTTTCTTTCTTTCTTTCTTTCTTTCTTTCT